CCGCGTGATCTGCATGACCGCCCGCGTGACCTGCGTGACCACCCGCGTGACCCGCGTGACCTCCCACATGACCCCCGTGACCGCCCGCGTGACCGCCCCCACCGCGGCCCGGGCCCGGACTCCACCAGCATGGCCCTGGGCTGGGCGGGAGCTTCAGGAGCGCTGATCCCCGTGCTCCCCGTGATCGCAGTGCTCCCCGTGCTCCCCAGGGCTCCCAGTGCTCCCCGTGATCGCAGTGCTCCCCAGGCTCCCCGTGCTCCCAGTGCTCCCCAGGCTCTCCAGTGCTCCCCGTGATCGCAGTGCTCCCCGTGCTCCCCAGGCTCCCCAGTGCTCCCCGTGATCGCAGTGCTCCCCAGGCTCCCCAGTGCTCCCCAGTGCTCCCAGTTCTCCCCAGTGCTCCCAGTTCTCCCCAGTGCTCCCAGTTCTCCCCAGTGCTTCCCAATGCTCCTCAGTGCTCCCCGTGATCGCAGTGCTCCCAGTGCTCCTAAGTGCTCCCAGTGCTCCCAGTTCTCCAGTGCTCCCCGTGATCGCAGTGCTCCCCAGTGCTCCCCCAGTGCTCCCAGTTCTCCCCAGTGCTCCCCAGCGGGATGACCCTCAGGGAGGACGCCCATGGCTTCCCCAAATGTATCCAAATAAAGATCCATTCCATAGCCAGTGTGGACAGCTACCTACACACTGACACGCGCGTGTGTGCACACCCACACAGACATGTGCACACCTACACAGACACACATGTGTGTGCACCTACACACGGACACACGTGTGCACACCTACACACTGACACGCACGCATGCACACATACACACTGACATGCGCGTGTGCACACCTACACAGACACACGTGTGTGTGCACCTACACACTGACACACGTGTGCACACCTACACACTGACACGCGTGCGTGCACACCTACACACTGACATGCGCGTGCACACACATACACACTGACACGCGCGTGTGCACACAGACACAGACACACGTGTGTGCAACTACACACTGACACACATGTGCACACCTACAGACACGCGTGTGCACATCTACACAGACACGCGTGTGTACACCTACACAGACACGCGTGTGTGTGCACCTACACACTGACATACACGCACAGCTCGACACGGCCACACATGGAGCCACACCTTCCAAGCAAAAAGCAGAAGCTGCACCGGCGTGAGCGCGAAGGAGGCGTCAGCAATGCTATTGGGTGGATTCTGCAGCGCACAGGGCGCGGCCGCTGGTCATTGGTCACAGCCCTGACCGGCCCCACCCCCGGCAGGGCACACAGCCTCGCCCCCGGGAGGCCCCGCCCCCTAGGAGAAGCTCAGGCCGGCCCCGCCCCCAGGAGGCCCCGCCCTCGGGAGGCCCCGCCCCTAGGAAAAGCCGGGCAGGTGCCTGGCCAGCAGCAGTGCGGGCCCCGGCCCAGCTCCCTGGGAGGCCCAGCCCCCGGGAGGCCCCGCCTCTAGGAGAAGCTGAGCAGGCGCGTGGCTGGCAGGCCCCGCCCCTCGTGAGGCCCCGCCCCCGGAGGCCCCGCCCCGGGAGGCCCCGCCCCTAGGAGAAGCTGAGCAGGCGCGTGGCCAGCAGCAGCTGGCACACGGCGTCCACGTGGCGGGCGGCCACGCCCCGGATCCTGTCCAGGGCGTCGGGCGACGCGAAGTCGCCGACCATGTGGAAGAGGCTCGAGTGGAACTCGGTGCCTTCCTCCACGGCCTCCGAGAACGCGTCGCTGTCCTCCGTCAGCCTCAGCCGCTGCGCCCGCTGCCCGCTGAACAGGAGCAGCGCCCAGTCCGCGGCGGGGGGCCCGCCGGGCGCCTGCTCCTGGACCTGGGCGGAGAGGGAGCGGGCTGCGGGGAGAGTGCGGGGCTGCGGGGGACGGAGC